ATCACTACCCTTTTCTTGGCATCAGTGCAGAGGGGAATAGAATACAGAATATAATATGTTATTGGGTCACAGAAGTCACTTTGGGGTCACTAAGGCCCCTTGCACACAGCTGAATAAACGACCACATTTTCTGGGTTGTTCTGGGTTTTTTGGGCTATATGGCCATGTTCTAGAAGCATTCTCTCCTGACGTTTTGCCTGCATCTACGGCAAGCATCTTCAGAGGTTGTGACCTCACAACCTCTGAGGATGCTTGCCTTAGATCCAGGCAAAACATCAGGAGAGAATGCTTCTAGAACATAGCCATATAGCCCAAAAAACCTACAACAAGCCAGTGATTCCAGCCATGAAAGCCTTCAACAATACATTACCACATTTTCTGTTTTGAACTGGAATATATGGCAGTGTAGATTCAGATAACCCAGTTCAAAGCAGATATTGTGAGATTTTCTGCCTTGATAATCTTGGTTATATGGCTGTATGGAAGGGCCCTTAGGCCCCATTTACATTGATCATTTAATGCAGTTCAAAACTAGTTCAAACTGCAGCGCCCAGATAATGAACTCCCAAAAAATCACACGAAAGAAAGTTCTTAATATGCATCAGTGCTCTGTGGTTTGTGTAATCACCATCCAGGCCTCAAACTGGTTCTAGGATTTCCTATGTAATCATCAGCACAGCAAAACCACTTTCTTCAATACTGATTTGAAACTGCAATAAACGGTCAGTGTAGATGAGGTCAATAAATATCACTTAGTTATTGCAATTCCTGGGATTCTTGCATAACATGCTGGATTATTATCAGACCCAGAAAGCCTCTTTTTATATTATTATTATTATTATTATTATTATTATTATTATTATTTCTTCTTCTAATAAAGAATTTATACTGAGGGTCCTTTAAGACAGATTACATAAGCACAACTGCTAAAAAATTCTGACTTTGCATGCTTGTTTAGCACACCAATGGGCTACAGGAATGCTAGGTAGACAAATACAGTGTTCTGGACCAAAGCCAAACAAATGCTTATCTAACAGCAATTTCCTTCCTTCCAAAGGTGGATTATGAGTTCTTGAGATGATAGTACAAAGAACATTCAGTGAAAGAAGGCCCCCTGTACTTACACCTTTCAAATTAAATTGCAATGTAAAAAGTCTAATTATATAAAAACAATGCTGTATCGAAGAACACTAACACAGAGAGAGAATCCCTTTAGCATTTTTATGAGTGACCCTGAAAAATCCAACTACTCTTTTGTCCACATCAATACCATTATATAAGGAAGTGGTAACTTAACACTGGACACAAGGGCACTTTAGCAAATATCTTCTTTGGTGCATTTGGTGCCACAGAAACAGTGGTTATCATATCACTGCCTTGTTACTAGAAGTATGAACCTCTCCGCTCATCCCTCTACTCTTCCTGCCTTTATTCAGGATTTCAGTTTACCACGGGACAACTGTTCTTTCATGTTAAAACTGAAAAACAGATTTCAAGCTAAATTCCCACTCACAACTCCCCGTGCTAACAGGGACTGGGGGAGCTATAAGTATTACCCCATTAATTACTATGGATGTACCTCTTTTAGCCAGCTCTACTAGCCACATTACTCAGGAAATTAAACTTGCTCCTTACTGCTGTACCAACTCTATACAGAACTAGGACATGTGCTGTCTACAAGCTCCTAATCCTACAGTATTTCTCATTTCCACAATGTGTGTCAAGTGCTACTTTGTTGACTTTCGGAGACCCCAAAGTGGCACTAACACATCATTTTCTTGCCAATAATAATCAAAATGAGGGTTTGCTTTCACCTTCGTTTGAATGCTGTGTCAAAGAACAATATTTCTTAGGGCTTCTTCTGAGCCTCAGAGGATGCAACTTGTCCAAGGAATTCAGTGGGGAATCAAAAGCTGTTCTCCAGAATCCTAGTCTAACACCCAAACCACTACATGAGGCTGGCTTTCTAAGTATATCACTTCATGAAAAGGCTGAAAACAGTATATTTTTTCAAGACATGCAGAATATATAAGATTAGATTCAGTTATACTCTTACACATCCTACTACTAAATCTAAGTTAGTGGCTATGCTGGAACAAAGACCTCTGTAAATTATTAGATAGGCGTTCTTAGGAGCCAATAGATTCATGGTGAATAGGTTTAATGAAGGCTGTTTAAACTGGCAGCCTAATGTGTTTGTGTCCTTGTGTTCAGGGACTGCATACTCTGAATAACAAACATAGGGAAGAAACAGGGGAAATTCATTGCTCACATATTCTGCCTGTGTCCTTCTTCGGTTTATCTAGTTGGCCACTGTCGGAACCAAAAGGGTTACAGTGATGTGTTCTTCCTCATTTCTATTTCACAAAGTTCTTATCAGAATAAGGTTTATCCAAGGTCCCATAAACAGCCCCTCCACCCCAAATACAGGATTAACAGAGTGAAAAACACAGAAGGCTCCTGTCCTTTTATTGGTTCTATTTTCTCAGCCAGTGTGACCTAGTGGTTTGAGTATCACTCTGGAGACAAGGATTTGATTCCACAGTCAGCCATAGAAACCCACTGGGTGAGCTTGGATAAGACACATAAGCTGGATCTGCACTGCTATATAGTGCGGTTTGAATCTGCATTATAAGGTCAGCGTAGACGCATATAATGCTGTTGAACTGCACTGAACTGCTTTATATGAGTTAACACTGACATTATTATTAATAGTATATTTAGTTATACCCTGCTTTTTCTCTGCATAAGGAGACTCAGCACGACTAACATTAAAAGCAGTGTAAATCCAGCTATGCTATCAGTCCTAGAAATCCCGGTTATATGTTCCAAGTTCAATGAAGACAATTACTATGGAAACGGATTACTGATAAGTTTAATGGAGTCTTCAACTACAGAACTTGGCGAGACAATGGCCACCAGACTGGCTTTCTCTTTTTAGTAGATTTTATTGCATGAATTTTATGTATTAACTAGTCATAACTATTGATTTTAATATGTATTTTATTGTGTTTACTTGTATGTGCTGTCCTGAGCCCACCCCCCCACCCCCGGGGGGGCTGAGAAGAACGGGGTATAAATATCAAAAATAATAAAATAAATAGTAAATAAGTTAGGCCCCTTCCACACAACTTAATAAAATCCCACATTATCTGCTTTGACCTGGAATATATGGCAGCGGGGACTCAGATGACTCAGTTCAAAAGATCATATTGTGGGATTTTCTGCCTTAATATTATGGGTTCTAATGGCTGTGTGGAAAGGCCCTTAGAGTTACCATAAGTAAGAAACAACTTGGAAGGCACATTACCACAACTCTCAGCCTCAGAGGAAGGTAAAGGCACCCCTTCCTTGAAAATATTATGCATGAAATCCCATGATAAAGCCACCATACATCAGGAACAATGTGAAGCCATGACACAAGAAGAGCAGATCCCAGAAGGTGTTGCCTGTCACCTGAATATGCAACATACAACACTTGATGAAAACCCCTCTTCTACATACATACATAAATCAGATCCCGGCTGATCTTGGAAGCTAAGCAAGACGGGCCCTAGTTAGCACATAGATGAATGGCTACCAGATGCCGCAGGCTGTATTTCAGAGGAAGGAACAAGCCAAGCCATCTCTGAATATTCCTCACCTGAGAGAAAAACTTATGAAAAATGCATGATTGCCATGAGTCAGCAGGCGACTGAAAGGCACATGTGTGCACAAGATCTGGCCTGGGGTTTTTTAAATATATTTTTAAGCTAAGCTGTAAGGAGTTTGACATGATGTTATTATTATTATTATTTGCCCACCAAATGCTGCAGGGTTGAACTTCCTAGGCTTGAGAAAGGTGGCTTTTTTGGAGTGTTATAATTGCTCTATTTCTATTCTACTATTCGTTCTATCCACCTTTTTGACCAGACTATCCTTTAACTCGTTTGGATATTGATCCCCCCCCCCCAAATTGAGATTAGAGGTACCTATGTTGTTGCTTATGGTGCTTGATTTTATTGTTTATGATGATGTTGTTTTTATGCTGTTTTATATTTTGCTGGTCTGTTTTTAACTGTATGTTGTCTGGGCATGGCCCCATGTAAGCTGCCCTGAGTCCCTTTGGGGAGATGGGAGGCAGGGTAGAAAAAGTTGTTATTATTATCATTTGAAACACAACAAGATGAGTCCACAGCAGACAAGATGACTCTGCTGGCTGCTGAATTGGATCACACGTCGGACACTTCCAAAGTGTCTAGGACTGTGTGATATATCGGTGAATGATGTGTGCAGATCCCAGTATGGTGGCCTTCTGCAGTTGGCAGATGGTAATCTTGTCAGTGCTGATTGTGTTTAAGTGCAGGCCAAGGATTTTAGGCACTGCACCCAGTATGCCGATCACCACTGGGACAACATTTACTGATTTGTGCCAGAGTCTTTCCAGTTCAATCTTTAAACCCTCATATCGTGTCAGCTTTTCCAGTTGTTTCTCTTCAATCCTGCTGTCACCTGGGATTGCAACATCGACAATCCATACTTTGTTTTTTAACACAATTGTGAGGTCAGGAGTATTGTGCTCCAAAACTCTGTCTGTCTGAATTCAGAAGTCCTAGAGAAGTTTGACATGGTGTTATTATTATTTGCCCACCAAATGCTGCAGGGTTGAAGTTCCTGAGCTTGGGAAAGGTGGCTTTTTTGGACTGTCATTCCCAGAATCCCCCAGCCAGCGCTGGCTGGGGGATTCTGGGAATGACAGTCCAAAAAAGCCACCTTTCCCAAGCTCAGGAAGGCTGTCAAGAAATAATACTTGGAACCTGTAAAATCTTCTCAATTATCAAAGAAAACCTTATAAAATGTTTTGGGTCGTCAAAAGTCGACAGACACAACTATGGGGGAGATAGGAACCCTCTCTAGTTGTGAAGCTAACAACAACAAAGGTACACAGAGACACAAACAAGGCCCTCCAGCCATCACTTTGCTTCCCTTGCCCCCTAGTTTACCTCTCTTCTCCAACTCACCTTTCCTCACGTACTCAACGTTGCCATGTGCGTGCCTGCGGCCTTCTCCCCCGGCCCAGCGGCGGAGGCCTTCAGGGGAGCCTGGAGAAGAAGAGGAGCGGCAATGCCTCCTCCAAGGAAGCCCATTTGCCGCCTATTTCCTTCGGAGGGGCAACCAAAGGTCGGTCCGCTGCTAAGGAACAGGCCTAGTCGGCCGGCCAGCCAAGGGCCCCGCCTCTCACACTGAGGGGTTGCTTTCGGATTGGCTGACGGAGTCTGCGGCTGAGCCGACAAGACGCCAGCCTCCCGGAAATAGCGCTTTGGCAGTACTTCCGGACTGGATGGCGCAATGCCTCATGGGATTGATGAAACAGCGAGGTGCAGGAGCGTTCTTGAGATTGAGGACTCTCAGAGTGCATCCAACGCCATCGCAAGAAATGCCATACATTCCTATAGAATTAATGCAGTTTGACACTACTTTACCTTCCATGGCTTCATGGTATGGAGTCATGGGAGTTCCTGTTTTACAAGAGCTTGTGCCTTCTCTGCCAAAGAGTGCTATGGCAGTTAAGGTGGGGTCAAACTGCATTAATTATGCGGTGTAGATGCATCCTAACAGGGCATTCAATTTGTCTATCTATGGATCTATATATAAATGCTCTGTGCATAATGAATTCCTTAAAAACAAAAGAACCAATGAACGAAATCACACCAAATTTGGCAACAAAACGTCTCACAACACAAGGAGTGACCATCACTCAAAAAATTATGTTTTTGGTATTTGGGAGTTGTAGTTGCTGGGATTTATAGTTCACCTACAATCAAAAAGCATTCTGGACCCCACCTACGATACAATTGAACCAAACTTGGCACACAGTTCTCCCATGACCAACAGAAAATACTGGAAGGGTTTGGAGGGGAATGTGTCCTTTGGTTTTGGAGTTGTAGTTCACCTACATCCAGGCAGCACTATGGACTCAAACAATGATGGATCTGGACCAAATTGTACAAGAATACTCAATATGTCCAGATGTGAACACTGGTGGAGTTGGGGGCAAATAAAATCTTGACATTTGGGAGTTGTAGTTGCTGGGATTTATAGTTCACTTACAATCACAAAGCATTCTGAACCCCACCAATAATAGAATTGGGCCAAACCTCCCACACAGAACCCCCATGTGGGCCACAGCAACGCATGGCAGGGTATGGCTAGTGATTTATATGGTTCTTTATATGAGGTGATTAAATATTATCTTGGTAATATTACCTTGGTACCAGGCATGTAGCGGGGGGGGGGGGCTTGAGGGGCTTCAGCTCCCCCATCCCCAAAATTCTCAGGGTGTCCGCGAGAAGGCCTTACTGATGTATTATTATTAATTATTTATTTACTTCATTTATATACCACTTTTCTCAGCCCTCAGGCGACTCAAAGCAGTTAACAACAGCAAAATTCAATGCAAAAACATCACAAAACTAATATGGGACAGTTAAAAACAGCATCATCAACGATTAAACATCAATATAACAATCATTAGCGTCTCATCAGTAAAATCAGAATCCAGTCTCATCATCCATTATTCTGTATTCCTATATTCAATTACACTGCTTCATCCAATGCTTGCTCGAACAGCCAGGTCTTCACTTTCCTCCGAAACGCCAACAGGGAGGGGGCCGATCTGATATCTGTAGGAAGGGAGTTCCACAGCCGAGGGGCCACCACTGAGAAGGCCCTGTCTCTCGTCCCCGCCAGGCGCGCCTGTGATGCAGGCGGGACCGAGAGCAGGGCCCCCCCAGATGATCTTAATGTCCTAGTTGGTTCATAGGAGGAGATGCGTTCGGAGAGGTAAGTAGGGCCAGAATCATTTAGGGATTTATAGGCTAACGCCAGCACTTTGAATTGTGCCCGGTAGCAAACTGGCAGCCAGTGGAGCTGGCGCAACAGAGGAGTTGTATGCTCCCTGAGTGCCGCTCCTGTTAGCAACCTGGCTGCCGAACGCTCTACCATTTGAAGCTTCCGAGCAGTCTTCAAAGGCAACCCCACGAGAGCATTGCAGTAGTCTATACTGATACATTATTTAAACGGTTACATTTATTCATATCATGATCTGATCACCATGCTCAATATATCTCATATGCATGGGGCTATTGGGATAATGATACAAAAGGTTTGCTAGGGTAGATCCTCAGCCCCCCCCCCCTTTGAATCAAACTCACCCCCCCCCGAATCAAACTCAGCCCCCCCCCCTTCCTGAATCAAAATCCTGGCTACGGCCTGCTTGGTACAGTTACAACGTACCACAGTGGCACAGTGGGGTTAAACCCTTGTGCCAGCAGGACTGAAGACTGACAGGTCGCAGGTTCGAATCCAGGGAGAGCGCGGATGAGCTCCCTCTATCAGTTCCAGCTCCTCATGTAGGGACATGAGAGAAGCCTCCCACAAGGATGTTAAAACATCAAAACATCCGGGTGTCCCCTGGGCAATGTCCTTGCAGATGGCCAATTCTCTCACAGCAGAAGCGACTTGCAGTTTCTCAAGTCGCTCCTGACATGACAAAAAAAAGTTACAATGGATGTCTCCTGGGGCCCTTCCACACAGCCCTATATCCCAGGATATCATGGCAGAAAATACCACAATATCTGCTTTGAACTGGGTTATCTGAGACCATAATCCAGTGTTTCTTAACCTGGGGGTTGGGACCCCTAGGTGGGTCGTAAGGGGGTGTCAGAGGGGTCGCCAAAGACCATCAGAAAACAACAGTATATTCTGTTGGTCATAGGAGTTCTGTATGGGAAGTTTGGCCGAATTGTATCATTGGTGGGCTTCAGAATGCTCTGATTGTAGGTGAATGATAAATCTCAGCAACTACAACTTCCAAAAATCAAGGTCTATTTTCCCCAAACTGCACCAGTGTTCATATTTGAGCATATTGAGTATTTGCGCCAAGTTTGGTCCAGATCCATCATTGTTTGAGTTCACAGTGCTCTCTGGATGTAGATGAACTACAGCTCCCAAACTCAAGGTCAATGCCCGCCAAACTCTTCCAGTATTTTCTGTTGATCATGAGAGTTATTTCTGCCAAGTCTGGTTCAGTTGCATTGTTGGTGGAGTTCAGAATGCTCTGAATTTAAATGAACTATAAATCCCAGCAACTACAACTCCCGCCCCCCAACCCCACCAGTATTCAAATTTGGGCGTATTGGGTATTTGTGCCAAATATGTTCCAGTGAATGAAAATACATCCTACATATCAGATATTTACATTATGATTCATAACATTAGCAAAATGACAGTTCTGAAGTAGTAACAAAAATAATATTGTGGTTGGGGGTCACTGCAACATGAGGTCACAGCATTAGGAAGGTTGAGAACTACAGATAATGTGGGATTTTCTGCCTCGATATCCTGGGATATAGGGCTGTGTGGAAGTGCCCCTGCTTGTCCAGTGTTTACTTATCTTGTCAGAAGCAAATTGAGAATAATAATAATAATAATAATAATAATAATAATAATAATAACTTTATTTATATACCGTTCTATCTCCCCCCAGGGGTGGGGGGGGGGAGACTCAAGGCAGTTTCCAAGCAACAACATCAAAACATACAGAGTCACAACATGAACAAAAAGTAACAGCAACAGCAACATAAGCATGGAGTTACCCAACAACACATAAATATTAAAAGAAAAATCCTGCCTGCTCTTCATGTCTATCCGTTAGGGCATGGAAAAGGAATGGGTCAGGACAATTTAAAAGGCTGGTCAAGACTGATACAAATTGAAATAAGATGGGACCGGCATTTGGGTACAGTACTGTAATAGGTAAACGACAAAAGCTGGGGCAGGCTATTTCCAGGGTCCTGTTAGGAGAATGACCAGGGTAATATATAGGGGGCTAGGTTGTGTCCGGACAGTGTCTGGGCTGAGCTAGCACTGGTCACTCTCGAAGAGAGAGGGTAGAGATGGGGCCTGTCTTATTTCCCTTGGAAGGGTGTTCCAGAGGTGAGGGACCACCACCGAGAAAGCCCTCTCTCTCGCCCCACAACCCATGCTTGTGACGGGGTGGGAGTGAGAGGAGGGCCTCCCTGGAGGATCTTAGAGTTTGTTCCAGTTCATATATGGAGATGCGATCGCAAAGATAGGCAGGGCCCGAACCGTTCATATAGTTATAATGTATATGTATATTTAAAAAACACAAAGTTAAAATTTGGCATTATGCTAAGTTTCCTATGACCAGAAACTGGCCACTTGGAGTGCCTCTGGTGTCTCTCTCTCTTCATGAAGCCAAACAGACCGGGAATCAAAACCACACAAAATCAACTAACCCAAAGTTCCTCAAAGTGGACAAAAGCAAAGCTGATAGCAATCTCCCAAGCGGACAAGATCACGAGCACTCCCTATGGCGCTAGCTCGTAACTCAAATGCTGCTCATATGTCATTTGATCAAGCAACAGCTCATAACTCAAAACATTGGGACGCTCGTAAGTCGAGGTCCTAATGTGCAATAATTAAAAGCAAATTATGACAAAGACAAACTAAAACTTACATTTCTGCTATAAATGATTTTTAAAAATTATTTAAAAGTATTATTACTTTGGGTTGCCAATTGCTTGAGAATTCCAGTTACTTACATTCCAGTCAACTGTGAGTCTACTGTATGTATACCCTCAAGGTGCATCCATATTGTAGCTCTCTCTTGATCTTAAACACAGCCTAGCTCATGTAGGATGTATCTACACTGTAGAATAAATGCAGTTTGGTAACACCTTAATTGTCATGGCTCAATGCTATACATATATAGAAGTTGTGGTTTGGCCAAGAAGGTTAACGACCTTATAAAACTAAAATTCCCATAATTCCACATAATTGATCCACAGAAGTTAAAATGGTGTGAAGCCATTAATTCTACAGTGTAGATACAAGCTCAGTTAGCATTCATCTTGTCAAATATTTGTTATTTCCTCATAGACCATCTGTTCATCTTCATCTTTAACATGCTGGTACAACCAAGCCATCCAGTGTTACAGCATGGTAAGTCAAAGCAGTGAATTCCTTGTCTAAAAACAGAAAAAATGTCTTTGCATATTTAATGTGCCAAGGTCAGCCATAGATCTCTATCCTAAAAGCCCCCCACAAATTCCTTAATATGATGTTAAATCCAAAGCCCTAATCCCTGCTTTTCATTTCTACACAGCTGCTCGCTATGCAAACACATACAGTACATATATAGATGTTTAGTTTCTCCTTTGTTGGGTAATTTCTGATAATATACACTCTATAGCAGTGGTTCCCAACCTTTTTTTGGCCATGCCCCACCT